GGTATGTATACCCATGTTCTGGGTTTGAGATGTAGTTGTCCCCCTCCCACCCCTATTAGATGCACGTTATATATGCACTTACACATTAATTCTGGGTTTTTTGCTTCTAGCATTAATAGTGAGTAGCTGAAGAACTTTGTGGGTGTTTTTTGTGGTTTGGGGTTTTTTTTTGGTGTGGGTTTTTTTTTTTTTTAAACCTGGAGAGTCAGAATTTTTATTTGAAACTGCTCTTCAAAAATGAGTACTATTGGAATTTTCTCTCTAAACAGTGTTTTGCAATATTACATAATACTTAAATATTTACACCTTTCATTAATCTCTTGGCTTATGCTTTACAATTTAGATTCTACAGTTTGTTTTTCTGTAAGGGAAAACAATTACTTGTGTTGTCATTTACTTACTGGAAACTTACATTGTTCAGCTTTTAGTTTTAGGAGTTTTTCCAGATTTAACACCACCAAAAAGAGTATTTTTGAATGAATTTGGTTTATGAATCAGAATTCAGAAAACAAGTGATTTATTTATTTTAGATTTGAGAAGAGTGGTAGTTAGCTTAGATTTCTTGGACTAATCAAACATACTTTTCATAAAGTGTATGTTTTTCTCTTCTTAGGTTGCTGATATGTTGTTGGAGCTGTGTGTTACTGAACTAGAAGATGTAGCAACTGATTCACAAAGTGGTCGCCTCTCTTCACAACCAGTTGTGGTGGAAAGCAGCCATCCATATACTGATGATACATCTTCTAGTGGCACTGTTAAAATACCAGGTATAGAATTCTTAAGGGTTACATTACTAAAATTCAGTTAATTTCAAACCTGTGTGCATAAAATTTTTCCTTAGCTTGCAAAAATGTGTATTGAACTTTTAAAGCCATGTTATATATCCTGTTGCTATAATAAAGCATTTCTTAAAACACTTACATACTGCATGAACGTCTCAATCCTGTGAAGCAGCATTTTTGGGTTCACTGGCCATGACTGCAGCTGTATATCATTGCTGTTTCCTGTTCAATTATGAAGCTGAGAAAGACTGAGTCTTTTTCAGGGTCAGTAATTGAACACCTATCTTCTAGTCTTGAGCATTAGGGAAATACTTTTTTGTTTTAGCGCTGTCTTTTCATTTAGTGCTTCCTTCAGTATGTTACCTAGTTCTTATCAAAAGGTACAGGCAACAAAGAGCTATTTGCCTTAACTGTAAATAGACATTTTTTGTCTGTTGCAACTTCAGTTTGGAATGTTCTGAATATAGTCTTCTGTCTGCTAGCCCCTACTTACATGAGCTTGCTATGATGTAAGCCTTTGAAAGAGAAGAAATTACAGACAAATAATGTCCTTAAACCAAAGGAAATTGTTTTTATTAACGAGCGCTATGGATTCCTAAGAACTGTGTTTGATTTCATGTGGATTTCTAAAATACTGCATTTGTTCGTGGTATTGATTGCTCTGTAGAAATGTGTAAACTCTTTGTTGCTGTTTAGGTGCTGAGGGACTGAGGGTAGAATTTGATCGCCAGTGTTCTACAGAGCGGCGTCATGATCCACTTACCATAATGGATGGCGTCAACAGAATTGTTTCCGTCCGATCAGGTTATGAGAACTAGTGCTTTTCAAAAATACCTTCTGTGATTTACTGTTAAACACTGAATGAAATGTAACACAGTCTGTGACTGACTCACTGTGAGGGATATGTCAATAAAAAAAGAGGACAAACTATGTAAATTGGTATTCCATTTTAAACTAAAGAAGATGTAGGATCTAGACACAGACATGTAAGAGTGATCTTTGAATACAGAGAACGTCTCAGAAGAGCATGTTGTCATGCTCTTCCAAAGAGCAGTTAGTGTAAAAAAAGTCAGTGTTTAGCGCTCCTGCCAAATTGTGTGAATTTCTGTATAGTCAAAATATATTTTAACAAATTGGACCACAATTGGAAAAGGATACTTCTTTTTTTTTTAGCTTTTTTTTCTTTTTCAAGTAGTACTTACAGGAATTTGAGCTTTCATACAGTCAAGACAAATGCTCTTCTGCTGTCGAATGCCCAAAATAATAGCTAGGCTCTCTCTTTCTGTTTTCTGCTCTGGCCTATGTACGTGACACTATATGATATCTTCACATCTTTTATCCTGTTATCTCTGATTTCATTTTTAAGCACTATTAATTTGCAGTAGATATTAGAGGAATATTTTTAATCTCATAAAATTTTACATTGAACTTACCCATACATTACATCATGTGCAAGCGTCTCGGTAGTTACTGTCTGTGCTTAACATTTCTAAGCAGTAATGATGTGGGCTTTTGCTGTTGACCCATTTTCCCCCAGACTGTTTCAGATGCACATGTGTTTCATTATTGAGACATTTCTGACTGGCTTCCTGGTTGGGAAGAGCTATAAAGCTTTATTTAATGTATACATTGTTATATATTTTTGTAATATGAAAAGATAATTTGAAAATAGGACAATGGGTTTTAGTCAGATCTCATAATTGTCTTTTGAATGTGGTATTAAAAGTACTGAGGGTATCCGTTAATAGTGCTAATTGAACTGTTGAAGACTTAAGTTCCGTTAATGTAACATCTTTATAGTTATGTTCATGTGCTTTACATAGCTTTTTTTCCTTGAATGCATTTATGTGATGTTTATAATATATAACCATGGAGGCAAGTTGCTATTGATGAGTGGCTTGCATATTGGCTCAGACAGTATAGATGAATATGTTCATATTACCTACTGTAACAGGTCGTGAGTGGTCAGATTGGTCTAGTGAGTTGCGAATTCCGGGGGATGAATTAAAGTGGAAGTTCATCAGTGATGGCTCTGTGAATGGATGGGGATGGCGATTCACTGTTTACCCTATCATGCCAGCTGCAGGTAAGGTATCATATATGACATTTGCAGAAGGGCAAGAGAGTAGGTGTACTTGTTAGTTTTTTACAGTTGCATTTATTGCATGATATTTATGTGCCAAAGTTCAATAGTTCATTTACATTCATTCTAAGAAAACATTTTCATTCATACTTAGGAAACATTTTCAACAAAGTCCTGAGAGGTGCACTTGTACATAGGGAGGAGATAAAAATACTTTGTAATCACTCTAGTTTGCCTCTTCCGTCAGTGAAGAGGGGATACTTTTGAGGCACAATTAATCTGAAATTCTTTTATTTTTTTCATGCACCTGTTTTGGAATTGGGTGAATTATGTCATGAAAGTGCTTCTTTCTTCCAGTCCCTTCAAAGGGAGGTGGAATGGACCAACTCAGGTGCAGGCTGGCACTCTAGGCTGCTGTGTTTTGTCAGCTAAATCCCGCCTATGTTCTGCTCTTATTTCAGTCTGAGGACAAATCTTCCCCACTTTTTTTTTTCTTTTTTTGTTATTTTTGCTTTTTGTTTCTTGCAGGCCCTAAAGACCTTCTCTCAGATCGTTGCATTCTTTCATGTCCCTCAATGGATTTGGTTACGTGTTTGTTGGATTTTCGCTTAAATTTTGCTTCCAACAGGAGTATAGTTCCTCGCTTGGCAGCTTCTCTTGCAGCTTGTGCTCAACTGAGTGCCTTGGGTAGGTGCAATCTTAAAATTAAGTCTATTTTTTTTTAAGTTAAAATTATTGTTTTAAGTAATTACATTCTTAATGTGCTTATGTTTCTTTAGCTGCTGGCCACAGAATGTGGGCCTTGCAGAGACTACGGAAACTACTCACAACTGAGTTTGGCCAGTCTATTAACATCAACCGGATTCTAGGGGATAATGATGGAGAAACACGAGCTTTGGTAAGAGGGCAGTGATGCTCTCCTCTTCACGTTTTTCACATTAAGATATATGTGAAGCATTAAAACGCTAGCCCTGATGTAGAACATTTTTGTTGTTAATGGCAAAATAGGAAATGTGCAAACGAATAGCCTTTTTTACACAGCTGTACAAGTCTAGGTAAGTAGTAAAGGTACTCCTTTTTAAGTAAAGTAAAAGTAAAGGTACTCCATTTTAGAAAAAAATGGCTAATTCCAATACTGTATAGGTGTGGCTTTGGAATTGCCAAAAAAGTGACAGAAATACTTTTGTATTAAGAAATGGATGGAAATGATACTTCACATAGCTAAGTGTATTTTGGGAAGTTATTAATGTTTTGTCATGGTCATCTAAAGAATTTACTTTTTGTAATACATCAGTAAGACTAACTTTCTAGTTCTGCGGTTTCTCTAGAGTTTCACAGGGAGTGCTTTAGCTGCTTTGGTTAAAGGTCTTCCAGAAGCTTTGCAGCGACAGTTTGACTATGAAGACCCCATTGTGAGAGGTGGCAAACAATTGCTCCACAGCCCTTTCTTTAAGGTAATGGGGTACAATCCATAAAGAATTCATGAGTATAGTTCTGGATTTTGTTGTGAGATGTTGTAAGCTCACCTATCCTATATCAGAAACATTTTCTGACAAAATCAGAATACTGCTTCTAAAAGGAGAATCAAATGTACAATAAAGAATAAGGAGCACCCAGCTAGGTAGAGGTAGGTAGGTCAGAAAAACATCTTGGAAGTACAGTAGAGTACACTTTTTGATAAGTGATTTCTGAGTTGTCCTAACAGGAGTGTAGTTTATTTTTATTTATTTATTTAAATACTGTGAAGGTTTTATTTACATCTAGTTGGAACAAATATGAATGTCTTAAAAGGAAGGTTATTCAATTTTGGACCCTGTACTTGAAATTAGACTCTCTCAGCTTGCTTATTTTTAGAGAAGAGCAACAAGAATAAAAGGCTGAAAAAGCTTCCCATGTAGTGAAAGTTAACTAAGAGGACTTACCTATCTTAAGGAACAGAAATTCTTAAAATATGCAAAACTTTATACAGGGAAGAAGTAAATCCATTGTTCACAATCTTCATCAGTAACATTGATTTGAAATTGAATGAAATTGAAAATCAATTGAAAATTGTTTTAATTGTAGGAAGGAGACTTAGGTGAGAAATGGAAGGTAAAAAGTTCACCGTGTGGTATTTGATATAGAAAAGTTAATTAATCTAGGAGTGTTTTTTTTCATGGGAGGGGCTGTGAAAATTTCTGGATTGGAAGAGGGAATTAGATACGTAACTATGTGAGATAGTATGGGTACACTTGATGCTGCCCCATCAATGAGGGTAATGAAGATGGCTCTTAATGTCCCTTGCACTTTACATGTCTTTGGGACTGTGTGCAGGCCCTGCTGGTCTGTGAGCTGTTCAACTACATCAAATACATACTACTTTTTTTTACACATTTTAGATAGATCTCTGAAATGTTTTCTGATTGTCTGCAGGTGCTTGTGGCTCTTGCTTGTGATCTGGAGTTGGACACTCTCCCTTGCTGTGCAGAGACACACAAATGGGCCTGGTTCAGGAGATACTGTATGGCATCTAGGGTTGCTGTGGCTCTTGATAAAAGGACACCATTACCTCGCCTTTTCCTCGATGAGGTACTGCAGGAATATTTTAAATGATTATGGAACATACGAAAATGTTTCATTTAAAAAGATACTGAGTTTGAAGTGTTTTATGCCAACTGTGATAGGAGTAACTGATAGTTTGAATAATGTTGTTTAATCCAAAATTTTTTACAGGTGGCAAAGAAAATCCGAGAATTAATGGCAGATAATGAAAATATGGATGTTCTTCATGAGTGCCATGATGTCTTTAAGAGAGAACAGGATGAGCAGCTTGTCCAGTGGATGAATAGGTTATTTCTTTTCAACTGTCATTGGTTTGGTCTTGTGATGCTTCATTGTTGTACAATGATAAACTGCATTTTTTGTGACTTTATAAAAGCTCTCTTAAAACTTTGTTTGCTTTGTATTTTCTGCAGGCGACCTGATGATTGGACACTTTCAGCTGGAGGCAGCGGGACTATTTATGGTTGGGGACATAATCACAGAGGACAACTCGGTGGGATTGAAGGGGCAAAAGTCAAAGTCCCAACTCCCTGTGAAGCTCTTGCTACCCTTAGACCAGTCCAGTTAATTGGTGGTGAACAGACTCTGTTTGCAGTGACTGCTGATGGGAAAGTAAGGATACAACAAACGAATGTGTGTTAGACTCCCTTGAAACATTTCATCCTCAGTCAGAATGGGTTTGGCTAAATAAAAAATAATGTGCATAGGACAGATTTATTACTATTATTATTAGTAGTAGTAGTTTTGTTTTATTTTATTTTTTTAAAGAAACTGAACTGTACCAACTCCACCAGTGCAGTCTAGGAGTTCAGTGTACTATATGCATGAAACAAGACATGTATTTTAGTTCTCAGTTGAAAACTCTTATCAGGTTTTGGAAAACAAAGCTGAATACAAGTAATGGGCTCACAGAGTCCCATAAAACAGGAGAGACAGTGAAATGTCCTGGTGATTATGTCTTTCTGACAGGGGAGAGGTGCAATTGGAATCTGAGATTGTTCACAGTTGGCTAAATGCCTGTAAGTTAGATACTGCAGGATCTAATTTGCAGATGCTTAAACCCTGAGTGAAAAGGAGCACCATGCAGAGGTATAGAAGAGAAAAATAAGTTCATGAATATGAAGAAGTCTTTATTTTCATGCAGATGGCAGCTTTGTATTAAGGATGTGACTGAGAATTTTAGCTAGAGCTTTTCGTAACAGTTACATTCATCTAGTGAGATACTGTAATGCTTCCTCAGCAGTCAGTATCATCCTTGTTAATGATGCACAGAAGGGTAAGGCACAGATTGCTTGACGTCATTCTGTTGAGAGAGATTACTTTCAGATAGTCAGAGGGAAAAGCAGTACTTAAAACTGTATTTATGGGATGGAAGGGGAAGAAGCAACTGTGTTTAGATGTGTGTATTCCACACAAGAAAGAAAACTAGTACAGTGCTGCTTGAGAGAGATCTACAGGTGATAGGTGATTTTGTAATGTTATCATGCAAAGCTATGGTTTCTTGATACTTCTACAAAATCAGCCTTAGGATTTAAAATGAAATCCATTATGTCAGTGAATCCATTATGTCAGTGACAGTTCATGTGGACTTGAATGTGGACTTGAATGTAGCCATATTTTCACAATTTTTGTGAAATATTTCAAAATATTTCTTACTTTCCAGAAGAGGGTATAGAGGCATGTAAAAAACTGTTTTTTCAGGCTTTCCTCTAACTGTATTCTAGTATACATTCATTAAGAATTCTTCTCTGCAGCTCTAGTGAATGTTCTTCAAGAGGCAAACAAAATTAAATTTTATTCTTCACTTTAAAGCTTTATGCCACTGGATATGGAGCAGGTGGTAGGCTTGGAATTGGAGGAACAGAGTCAGTTTCTACTCCAACTTTACTGGAATCCATTCAGCATGTATTTATAAAGAAGGTTGCAGTGAACTCAGGAGGAAAGCACTGTTTGGCATTGTCTTCTGAGGGAGAAGTTTATTCTTGGGGTGAAGCAGAAGATGGTAAACTTGGTCATGGAAACCGAAGGTAAGTAACACTTTGAAATGTTATTTTTAAAAACTATTAATGGATCCTTATTATAGTTGCTATGTATTTGAAGTGTTGTATGAGTACTGCCTATATGTAGAAGTCAGTGTTAAGTAGTGATGTGGAAATGTACATTTTTAATTGGAGAACCACAAAATATTTTTCAGATAAACAGTTACTGTGATTTCTGTAATCAGATATCCGATATTCAGCATCTGTGGATGCTGAAGTCTGGTGGCTTTCCTTTGGGATCTGTCTCATAGCTATGTGGAACTTCAAGGCACTTTAGGGAGCAAAACTGCCATTCTGCTTCTGATCTCCACATGCATTGTTGCCCACATTAAAGGAGAAGTTCTGTTGTGTTAGAGATAACGGTGTTCTGATCCAAAAAGAAGGAATGCTGAAGTCCGGGGGGCAACAATACATTTTATGCTCGAAATTTTTATAATGTATCTTAAATTGGACTGATTTTCCCGGGTAAATGCTTAGCTTTGACTAGATTTTAATGGAAGTGTTTTGCAGTTTCAGCTTGCCTGTAATGCTGTAGTATAGCATATGGTAAAGTACTTCTAGCTTTATAGGCCTCCAAAAATATTTCTGAATGACTAATTAGACATAAATCTTTAGGTTATTAAACTGAAGCAAAAGCAAATACTCAGTTATTTTAGGTGTCTTCATAGTCATTTTAAAAACCTCTCTCCATACATTGGTGAACATGAATGGTCTATTCGAAAAGTTTTGTTGAGACAAATATTTTCATTTCAGCCCTTGTGATCGTCCTCGTGTAATTGAATCTCTGAGGGGTATAGAAGTGGTTGATATTGCTGCTGGGGGAGCACACAGCGCATGTATTACAGCTGCAGGAGACCTTTTTACATGGGGAAAGGGGAGATATGGACGCCTTGGGCATGGAGATAGTGAGGACCAACTAAAACCTAAGCTGGTAAGAAACCTTTGGAGTTCTATACAGTCTTAGTCCAGTTCTTACCTTCTGATTTGTACCTTTTTGCATTTCTGCATATAAGGAATGAAAGGGCAAAACGGTGGCATGTATTTGTAAGAAATGAACAGTTGCTTTAGAAAACAGGAATGGATTGGGAGAATAAAATGAAAGTGGAACTGCAAAGCTTTGCTAGAGGTCACTAAACAGCTTATAAGGAATTTGTTTTAGAGAAGACTTAAAAAAATAGTTGGTTAATGGTTGGACTGGATGATCTTAAAGGTCTTTTCCAACCTAAACGATTCTATGATTCTATGAAAACCCCCAAATCAAACACCCCACCCCCAGTAAGTAAATTCCACCCCTTCAACAGGAGTAGTTTGTACTGAAAGTTAACAAGTGAGCTCCTTGTCTACTGGGTCCTCTCATTGTTTACTTCCTGGAAAATACAACAGTGATTACAGTGATAGCCACTTAATCACTTGCAAACTGCTTTTTTTCCTGACATAATTATTATACTCTTTTAATTCTCATGGTTCAATACTGAGCTGTTACTGAAGTATATACCAAGTTAGCAAGAATTTAACCGAAGTAATGATGAAGTATTTAATTGCTGTTTACTAAAGAAATTTGAGTTAAGCAGTTATTGATGAAGATGATAGCTGTTTCCATGTGATCCTTAAGTAGTAAATGTGAGAACTTGGACGGTATGGAATGTAGGAAGAATGACTATACTGATCAGCTGACGAGTTGTAATTCGGACCATTGTACTCCTGTGAACTAGACTGTAAGAGCTTTAAGTTAGAACAGTGGTATTAAGAAGACTGCCCTGCCTTTGAAATGAGAGTTCATTTTGCTACCTGTGTTCTCTTGCTGAAAATACAGCAAAGGATAAGATTACATTAGTTGAATCAACCTGATTGTTAGTTTGTTACTTTTATTCATAGCCCTGTGCATATGTTTCTATTCACGCAAGTGTTAACTTTTTTCAGTGCTTAAATTCGTGCGACGAGATACCATACATTCTTAGTCCACTTTGAGACCTTATCACATGCGTCCAGATGTTCTCGTTCCCCTGCCCCCCAAAAAACAAGGTCTACCCACCTTTCCTGTACATCTTTATACATCTTTTCCCCCCCTCCATGTTCTTGGTTAGTATGAAAATAGATAATCTGTAGGTGAGTTGAAGTATGTGAAGTCCAGTGCTGCTTTGGATGATGGATTGTGCTACCTATAGTCTATTGCAAGTAGGGGTGAGGATGGGGAGGATATGATATATGTGGGTCACCATCCTTTTACTTTGTGAATCCAAATCCCATACTTCATCACTAGATGGCAGCATTTCAAAAGATGTTGATTAAATTCAGCTTATGATGCAAGTGCTAGAAAATTGTCAACTAGTAAAAGAGTATTTGAAAATAAGGCTTTTTTTTTTTTCTTACTGTAGACAATACTCACCCAGACAGCCTGAAATTATTTCAACAGAGTATAGTGTTTGAAAACCTTAGGTGTTTTGTATGAATTGTTTTCCCTGACTGTTTAGGTCAAAAAATTTAACTAGTTCACCAATTAAAAAGAATAATTCAGTATTTAAAATACATAGTTTTCATTTTGCTATTTCAAAAAGAGCAAAGCCCTTTGAGTTGCCTTTATTTGCTTGTTACTTTGGTGTTTCAGATTTGCAGTTTAAGTGAAGCACTTCTCCAAGTTGGGTTTTTTGTCTTTTTTGAAACTAGATGACGGTGTCTTCTATTGTGAACAAAAACGGGTGATTTCTTTACAGGTGGAAGCTCTCCAGGGCTACCGTGTGATTGACATAGCCTGTGGCAGTGGAGATGCACAGACATTGTGCCTGACCGATGATGATACTGTCTGGTCCTGGGGTGATGGAGATTATGGAAAACTTGGGAGAGGAGGCAGTGATGGCTGTAAAGTACCAATGAAGGTATTTGAATGTAATTTTCTCATTGTTTTAGAAACCATGAGGTTGTTGGAGAACGCTGAAGACAGATTTGCCAATATGTGCAAACTTCCACCCATCCTGAGACATCAGGATTCTTCTGATTGTAGTTAAGAACAAACTTGTAGGCTACAATTAAATTTTGTGCTGACTGTTAAAGTTGCACTTGAAGGTTTTTTCTTTGGAGAACATTGCTGATTCCGGCAATATTTCTTATTTTAATTTTGGTTCCTGTCAAAACGTTAGATTTTGCCAAGAAATCTTCATATTGCCTTGTGTTAATAAATTTCCATAATACTGCTGAAGTTGTAACTTCATTCCAGAAAAGGGTTATCAATTGATTAAAAAGTAACCTTACTTCATATTAAGCCTCTCATGTGAAGGCATGATTGACTTGGAATTTCTTCATACATTACAAATGAAGTCCATGTAGCCATCTAATTTGAATTCCAGCACTTGTTATGAAGATGAACATTGTTTGTGTTTGAGAAATATATGTGAGTATCACTGTGTATACCTATGCATAGTGGATTTTAGATTCTTAGTCCAGAATCACACTTTATTACATGGAAATAGGTGTCCCCATTCTGTTTCCAAATGGACAAAGTCTACCAGCCTGTCCCAAACAACAGTTTCTTATTGTGAAGTAACACAGTATGACAATAGCTTGTTTATGTTTCATCAGTCATCAGTCCCATAGGAGTGATGGTGAAGTGGCATAAGGACCTACACAGAGTAAATAGGAAGAGTGTACGGGAGGTTTAAGTATTTTTACTATGTTGGCAGAATCGCATCCATTTCATAGAAGCTAGGGATAATTAATGTTGAGTGTTTAGAGGCAGAGCCTTACTGTTTCTGCTAAGGGGCAATTGCTGAGTAACTCTTGGCAAAACATGCTAGAGATGATCTTCAATGGTTTGTCAAATCTGAGCTTCTTTTTAATGTTTTAGTAGTAAATCATAGAAAGATGAAAGGAGTAGAATTCTACTCAATGATCTACATACACATTTTAATTTATAAAAAAAATACATATAGACACTTACACACTTGCACATCATATTCTACTTAAGACAGTGCAGTCTATGAAACTATAGCCTCCTTAATTAACTTCGATTTCATTTGATACTGTTTTCCTAGATTGATTCCCTTACAGGCCTTGGAGTAGTTAAAGTAGAATGTGGATCACAATTTTCTGTGGCTCTTACCAAATCTGGAGCAGTATATACATGGTAAGTATTTTGCATTAGTTATTTTGACAGTGTTACATGTAACCTTGTCTGCAACAGGTATTAGTCTTACACTGCCTTCACTGTTTTGATTCCACCCCCCCCCCCCCCCCCCCCCATCAGAAACTTTTTTGAGTTCCTGTGTCTTGATTAGTAATAAAATCTACCACTTTGAGGAACGTTTTTTAGTGCTATTTGAATGAAAAATCAAAGTATTTTGTCTTTGAGGCCTAAGCACAGAGTTGTCATCCTGGGCTTTGACCACTGCAAGATGCAGAAGTTCAAGGAGGTCATTAGAAGTATAAGCCTGAAGTGTCATGCAGGGTGGAAGATGATGATAGCATAAATAACATTCTTGTATATTATCAAAATTGTGTCTAGCTTGTGGTGGCTGTAGTTTGAGAATTTGATTTCAGTTCGTTGTTTTAATCTTCTTACAGCATTACAAATTTTGTAGTTTAAAATACTAGACTTAAGTGTTTAAAAAGACTAACCAAATACCTTCCCAACATCCTTCTGCCCTCTTGTTCGTATGGCATTAGAGATATCCTGAAACTGTACAAAGTTCCAGTCTCTGAGGTCAGTAAATGTGCTGGTTTTGCAGATGAATGCCTCTACTACTTGACCCTTTTAAGAGGAAAAAACCAAACAACCCCCTGCAAAAATGGTAAAAGGACCTACGCAGAATAAGTAGGAACAACATATTATATGTTTAAGAATTTTTACTATATCAGCAGAATCACATCCATGTCATACGAGCTAGGGATGATTAATGTGGAATATTTGGAGAATATTTTGGTATTGGACTGTTTATAAATACATCTACAGATCAAATATCAGACACAGTCTGTTGTTCTGTTTTTTCCACAATTAAAACACAGTTTTGAAATGTTTTACCCTTTCTGTGCAGGGGCAAAGGAGATTATCACCGGTTAGGCCATGGATCTGACGACCATGTTAGAAGACCACGACAAGTGCAGGGACTGCAAGGAAAGAAAGTCATTGCAATTGCTACTGGGTCTTTGCACTGTGTTTGCTGCACTGAAGATGGTATAAAAATAAAATAATTTACTTAGTTCTCAGTACTGAATTTATAAAAAATGAAACTTCATTTTTTAGTCAGCTGTTGGTAGGTTGTCCTTGCTAAAAATGCTGGTCCTCTATGTGCATGGACATATTTTGTGTTTGCAGATGTTGCGTATTTCTTGAGCAGCAAGCACGTCATCGATTTAAAACGATCGCATAAAACCAACCAAAGGTTTTTAATTAATAAAACCCAAAGAGTTTAAGTTTCATAAACGCTGATGGTTGAAGAAAAAAAAAGTAATTACAGATTGGTCAAGCAGTAGAATGAATGGATTTGGCTTATTTTTTTACAGGGTCTTCCCAGCCTGCTGAGGTGTTTAACTTGCTAAATGATGCACTGCATAAACAATATTCCATCTTACAGAGCAGGTTGAGATACTGAATATTCTTTATAGCAGACTCACTCCCACATTTAATTAACAAGTCTGCACTATAACTGAGTGTTTTATAGGTGCTAGTGAAAGAGGATATAGCTGCAGAAAATGAATGCTCAGAAACATGGTTGCTATTTTAAAAGTATTTTCCAATTACCTTGCAACAGCAAGAACCCATTTGATTGTCCTCTCTAGTAATACAACCTATTATAGGATCTTTTCTTTCGTCTCATACAAAATGTTAAGCCTTTTCTAATTCATTTTTTAGTATCAGCTTTTTTTGCTATGAAACTATCAAATACAGGCTGTTTCTGGTGTATCTGTTGTTACTCTTCTGCTCCATCATTTCCTCCTGTTCTGGAACAGAACTTTCAAGTTATATGAACTATGAGGAAATAAATGCATCTTATACTATCTGCTCTATATAGACCATGGGCCTAACCTCGTGCAGATAAACCTTGAATGACATGATAGTGGATTTCAGGATGGCCATCAGTCCTAGCAATCTTGATTACGTTCAGTTAAATGAGGCCAAAACGGACTGTTGTGGTTTAGCCGCAGCCAGCAACTAAGCACCACGCAGCCGCTTGCTCACTCCCCCTACCCCGATGGGATGGGGGAGAGAATTGGAGGAGTAAGAGTGAGAAACACTCCTGGGTTGAGATAAGAACAGTTTAATAATGGAAATAAAGTAAAATGGTAATGATAATCATAACAATATAATAATGATAATATACAAAGCAAATGATGCACAATGCAATGCAATTGCTCACCACCCGCTGACCGATACCCAGACAGTTCCTGAGCAGTGATCGCTGCTGCCTGGCCAACTCCCCCCAGTTTATATACTGAGCATGATGTCACATGGTATGGAATAGTCCTTTGGTCAGTTTGGATCAACTATTCTGGCTGTGCCCCCTCCCAGTTTCTTGTGAATCTGGCAGAGCATGGGAAGCTGAAAAGTCCTTGCCTAGCATAAGCCGTACTTAGCAACAACTAAAACATCAGTGTGTTATCAACATTCTTCTCCTGCTAAATCCAAAACACAGCACTATGGCTGCTACTAGGAAGAAAATTAACTCTATCCCAGCTGAAACCAGGATATTTATAAATGCTAATTTAAAAAAAAAATAGAAGGCAAAAAGCTTCTATTGTAGTTTCAGAACAATTAATTATTTTTATTGGTTTAGGGGAGGTATATACATGGGGAGATAATGATGAAGGGCAGCTTGGAGATGGAACGACTAACGCCATCCAAAGACCGCGCTTGGTTGCAGCACTTCAGGGTAAAAAGATCAACAGAGTAGCCTGTGGCTCAGCACATACTTTAGCTTGGTCAACCAGTAAACCTGCTAATGCTGGCAAGCTCCCTACACAGGTAATACTTTTGGCTTATTGCATTCAGATTTGAAACATACTTGGTATGCTTATTGCTGATCTTTCAGTAGACATTTCCTTTCTAAATCCTTGCATAAGCTCAGTGTGCTTTGATTTGGCTTTGAGTTTGAGCCAGTTACTTTGTTTTACTTCCATATTTCCAAAGAAGGATTCTGGTTTTCTGAGGTGAGAAAGCCTCTTCATTCAGTTGTTAATCCAATGCAGAACAGTAACTCAGTTTGCAAATTGGCAGGAATTTTAATTCTGTGTTCCAGCTATGAAAATCTTATGCTTTCCAAGGGAGTTCTTCATTGCTTGCTTTATGTTAAGATTGTTTTTTGAATATTCTGTCTTTCAGCTATAATGCCTGGGTGTAGTGATGACAGGATGTAAAATGTGTCTGTTTATGGATAAAGAGAATTGTAAAATATGTAATAGCAAGAAAAGTCTTAACTCTCATGTTTCTAATACTTGTTTCAGTTTAGATGGATACTATTAGTATCTTTTATAAACAACTGAACTCTGTGTATTAAGTTTTGACAGTGTGAATAAGCAAAAAGCTGAATTTCTAATAGAAATTTACCAACAAATCTTATAAATTGTTCTGTTTAATAAAATAAATTATATAATAATTCTAACTTACATTCGGATATCATTGCCTTATCATAGGTTCCTATGGAGTACAATCATCTGCAGGAAATTCCCATCATTTCACTGAGAAACAGGCTTCTGCTGTTGCATCACATTTCTGAACTCTTCTGTCCTTGCATTCCAATGTTTGATCTTGAAGGAAGACTTGATGAAACTGGCCAAGGACCCTCAGTTGGGTTTGACACATTACGGGGAATACTGATATCACAGGGAAAGGTATTTATCAGAATGTTTTTAAGAGAGTGATTTGTAACTGTAAGTGAAATGTACTGTTCAAACTGTTTCTGAAGAAAATAGAACTATATATCTCAATTTGTTCTGTAAGCTGTATTTCAAATATTTGCATTGTGATTGTGCAAACTTCTTTCTTTGTGAATGTGTTCTTTTTATTATGTTTTCCTCAGTTCATCATAGCGCTTTTGTGTGTTGATCTTGAAAGTAACTTTACATTGTAAATCTTCAGTCTGTAGTATAGCCAGATTCTTCTAGAGTATTGAGTAGATGCTATCCTGGAAAAAAATGTAAGATAAGTGTGAAATGGTCATTGTCTGCTTTGGTATTTCAGCTGTCATGATCAGGTATACTAGCTGATCGAAAGCTCTATGCAGGTACAAACTTGTTTTAGACTGGGCTAAAAGTGAAGACAGGATACCTAGGAGTTCAGTCTCGAATTGGTAAAGGAAGTGGATTTTTATAGTTGTAAGTAAAGTCAGTCATGAGAAAATCTAGGTAATTATAATGCTTCAAGGCTACAACACTTATTCAAAACTTCAGATATGGAAAGCCTTTAAAAACATGACTTGCCTTCAGTATGATCATCAGTTTTGGATCTGAATTTTCTCACTGTCATAGTAACTTGTCTAACAAAAGACGATAACCTTATATAAACAGACAAAATCTGCTGGGAGACATATTTAAAAAGAGAAGCAGTTAAGCTTCCCTCTGCGGTGCTGTTCTATGTCCTTAAATAAGACACATGGCCTGTAACTAGACTCCTTAAGCATGTATTGTCTGAAGGTCTCTTTCTCTAGACTCCCAATAAAATTGTGTAGTAGAGCAATCCAGCAGAATACATGCTTCACAGACCAGGAGAAGACCACACATTTTTCATCAAAACCTACATTGGAAAAAAGGGAAGGGAAATCCTAGCTATTCTGTTCATGAGACTTACTTATATGTTAGTGCTATTAATAGGAAGTCTTTAGGTATATGATGTTAAGTATAGGAATGGGTGTGCAGGAGGCATGTTCAACATAATTTACTTTAAGAGTCTACAGAACAGTTAGAGAAAGGCTTCAGATATAAGATAAAATGTGATATCAGGCATATTTTATATCAAAAGCATTCAACAGAGACACTGGAAGCTGCAATGCAAGCAAATGCCTATTTATATCTAGGCATTTAAGTCAGACTTACCTTCAGGAGATTCTAAAGACTTAAAAATCTTTTTAAAGCTTGCTTGAAACTGATAATGTACAATTAGATCCAAATATTTAGTGAGAGACCCCTTAGATACTTGAATTTGCATGAAAAGGGTTTTTTTATTGTTATTTGTACTTTATTTCTTGCCTTTCATAGTGAGATGATCTCATCTTTTGGCTTTTTAGATTGTTTTTTTTCTGACATTAGTTATTCTCCATATACATATATTATTCTGGTATAAATTAATTTATACCTGTACTTGGTGGCATGTTGGTTGCTTAGTAATAACTGAATCTGGGAGCAGTACAATCCTTCAAGCCATGGTTTTGAGTGATACAGGAGAGACTTTCTATTTTACATTTTTAGTATCCCAACTATTTCAGACTTGAATTGTATTAGCACAAATAACAATCTTTAACTAACATCTCACAGCTTTATCTTCTGTTGCTTTTGTTTGTTTTTAGTATTTCAAAAATATCTGATGCTTGTTTCCATTTCTTCTAAAAAAATACTCAGAGGTGTTACACCTTTTCTAGTGTTTTGTGACATACTCGGAAGGAAATTGCTGAAGGATAGTATTGCAGGATCAGTTTCTCTATTCTGCTGAAGAGTCTTTTTTTCCTGAGTTGAACTAAGTATGTGTTTATCTGTGAAATATATGCAGCTTTCTTATTTGATTGCAGTTTTGCCACTATTCTAATTTTTTGTATTTTCCTTTTTTAGGAGGCAGCTTTCAGAAAAGTTGTGCAAGCAACTATGGTGAGAGATCGTCAACATGGGCCAGTCGTAGAGCTCAACAGAATACAGGTATCTTAAGATGAAATTTTGATTTTAGTATCTCTATGTTTAGCCCACAGTGCTACACATTTGTCAAGTTCCTTTTTTTCACCTCTTTGGTATCTGAATACTGAAGAGTTGAATTTTTATCAGAGAATCAAACAATGAAGAAGTGAATGCAGCAAGTCTGCTCATTTTCTTTTCAGTATGTTTTCATCAAACTGTAATTGTTTGGGGGGAGGGGAACACTTGTTGAAATATTAAGTGAATGATGTAACATGAACATGAAGGAGAAAAAAAAAAAGGGTAAGGAAAAAAAACCCCTTGAATATAATTAAAAATCAGGGTGATAAACTCTTGTCCTTTGCTGGTCATCACATGTGGTCATATTGATTGCAGAACCCTTTTGATACAAAAGGGCTTTTTTCCTTATCATTGACGTTAGAAAATGTAATGTTGTGCCTTAGGCCAGATATGTCTTTTTCCATAGACATTTCTGCAACGTAGAATAGTAAAACATTGTTTTCGTTTAAATTGGTTGAAGCCTGGTCTTACAGAATCCTCATGCATTTCTTTCCTTTAGTGGTGTAGGTTTTGGTTTTTTTTTTTTATATATATTGTAAAAAGTAAGAAAACCTACTCTTTGTAAGCCTAGAATGGAGTAATTGTGAAAATTTTGATGAACTAGTTTTTCTCTTAGTTTTCTCCTAGTGAACAGAAGTACATCCTGTTGTGGCTGGACCCTGTTTCTGTTTCTTTGCCATTTTCTATGGGCACTTAAAATTTCTTGTGGTAATATTATATGATTAAAATGTGTTGTTTCAGTTTATTATTTGGGAAGTTGAAGCTGAAGAGAATGCCAGAGATTTTCTCATTACTTTTTGTGTGTGTGTGTGTGTGAATTCAGAAAGTATGATAAAGCAGTGCAAGTATTTAAGCGGTAAACCAGTGAGTAGGTTTTGGGCTCATTTCCTACTGTCCTCCTTCTTGAGTTAATTAATTAAGATAGGCTTTCTCTATAGTTCATTACTTGAATCTGTCTTGAACTCTAGAAAAGAACTGGTAGCTGCAGGGCTTCCCTTCTTAATAGCTTCTGGGGGAAATGAAATATTGCTGTAACACAAGTCTGTCCTAGACGTAGCCAAGTGAATTCTACAAAAGACCATGTTTGTAATCTGGCCTGATTACACGGTACTAAGTACAGGTCACAATTTCTAGAGTTAGCTTTTGCAGAGAATGAAAGTGTGGATTCTTAAACTGTTTGATCCTTTATAATATTTAACTGAAGATTCAAAGCTGCTTTACATAATCTCAGACAGCTAATTGTCAATGTTAAGAATTTTCATCTTACTTGCAGTTGTGAGTTTAACTGCAGCTAGGCTTTAAGATCCCTTTGCTTTCAGAAGATTCTTCTTACAGTTTATGTATTCTGTGGTGCAGTCACTTCAGTTCATCATCATCCTTTGTATAAAATAAACAGATGGGTTTTTAATTTAAAGTTGTTTTCCAGGTACTGATGTTTTTTTTTTTTTTAATATTTCCTCAGCTTACCTAGTTGTTCAGTGGTTTCTTTGGAAGTACCTGAACTGGACATAACAGCTGTCTAATTTGCGGCATAAAAGCAAGCCAAACACCACTCCCTTGTCCTGAGTTCACGTTTTACATGGACCAGATTCCTTTAGAGTAGGTTACATTCACCTTACATACTACTTGGCCCTGGATCTTTTCTGTTGGGAGCCTTGTGATAGTAGGACACAATAGTTTTATGTAGTTTTCTTGCTCAAGGTGTGTGAAATACAATGTGATGGTTGTACTGCAACTCACCCAAGTACCAACCTGGTATTTCTATAGCATAAAATTGAGGGTAGATGCTTTATGCTTTGAGGTGTAGCATGAGGGCAAGCCTGAATGCACAAAGTTTGGAACACTGTTGGAGGACTGTGTATGGTGGCAGAAACCAAACTTGACGCGGTTTTATCTGTATTACTTTTTGGGAACGGTCGTTAAGTGGAATGTTCCAAACCAGCACCTGGGCCTTATTCTAGAAAGGTGTAACAGAAGTAGTTGAAGACTGAGCCAGAAAAGTGAACATGTTACATGTCTAGAGAGGGCTCCAGTGCTCAAGTTTACTTACTGACCCTCTTACTAGCAGATCAGATTTACCTAGTATTTAAGGACCAGTGTAGCTCATGTGGTGTCAAATGGACAGTGTGTTATGACCTGTAGGCAGACACATTCATAATGCTGTTAAATCATATCTTTGCCTTTAGATGGAAGAGATTATTGCAGCAGTTGAAAGGAATTTTCCTCCTTTTAAAAGGAAAACAAATTTCAGTTATTAACGAGGATGTCTACTTTCAGGAATGTAATATTGCAAAGGATCTCCTGGTTCAATGTTCTCTACTGTCATGGGAGGAATGTCACACATATGGATATATGAAATCCCACTTTAAGATTAGTTACTTCCTCCTCATTAGGGCTCCTTATTAAATGTGGGTTACAGAAATCTCACTAGCATGATAATTAAAAATGATCTCATCTTAAAGTAGGTACAGCATATCAATTAATGAATTATTTGTTCTTTTGTGAGTGTTATACTTCAGTTTAAATAACATTCCTCCTTCATGGTTATTGTCTTCTCCCTTATCAAATGTGCTTTTAAAGAACCCTCATGTCATGACAGCCTTCATTTTCCTACACTGGTCAGGCTAAGCTTTTTTGTCTGCTTGTGTAGAATAGTCTTTCTCTACTTGCTGTCTTTTCATACTGTATTTTTTCTATAGCATTTCAGTTTGAGCATAGATAACTGAAATCTCAAGGTACAGGTGAGAATGTGTCTGTGGTCTTGTAATTATTACACTGATACTGGTCTACCTCTTCTGGAGATTGATTTCATGACATATCCTTGAATTGTGTTTGTTTCCTTCATAGATCTGCCTTCTGTGTTAACAGTACATATTTGTCTTCCATAGCTGATTCCAACTAATAAGCTGTCATCTTTTGGTAAACTTTCTTATTAGTGTCTGAGTGCATGGCTTTATGTACTACTTCTCTCCCAAGTTCTGGTGGGTTGGAGAGAGTCCCACAGGATGGCCAGTATTTCAGTGGGTGCTCTCAAACTGCTTGACACAAATACAAGGTTTTGTTCTTCAGATTCAGAGAAAGAACTTAAAATTTTGGTCTTCATCACTTCAGAATGCTTTAACCAGATAAGGGATTGACTTGAGTGCCTCTCTCCCTTTGTTACAATGGTTCTGCTCACAATAAGTGATTATTCACTGAGGCAAGTTCTTGAACTTGATTCTTCCACACTTCACTGTATGCTGCTTTTGAGCTGCTGCATTTCTCTCTGGTCCAAGAAAAGTTGGTTTTCCACAAGCTGATATCTTCTGGTGGCAGACTGTTTTATGAAAATCCTTCTTGGGCTCTAATCAACATATTAACTTGTTTTATGCTAAAAAGTTACCTCATCAGCAAGAAGGCTGGAACTGTATTCTAAAAACTTGAGATGCTGCATAATCTGTGTTTAATAAGGCATGTATTTAATGAGGGTTATCTCTGACCCTATTCAGCCTATTCAGTAAAACAGATTTCACAGGATACTACGTCTCTAAAGGGGATGATTTGGAAACATAAGCAAGATGCTGTGCTCCAGACCTCAACAATAAAAAACTAGAACACCAGTGGTGTATTGTGGCCTAACTGTATTTGTATGAATTTTTGCCATTTTTCAGTGAAGTGTTTTACTCTGCTAATAACCTAATAAATTTTAATATGGGCACCTGTCTTTGTCAGCAAGCAGTATGCTAGGGTGCTGGCAGAAATGCCAATAATACTTCATGGCGTTTTTACATTGCTTTGTTAAAAGTCAATTTGTAACCATTCCTGCATCTAAATGATCAGATTAAATGAAAATTCTGTGTTACTAGCAAATAAACACTAAATTAAATGTGTAATAGCAAATGTGCATGCCATCCTATTTGGTTCAGGCAGGATTGCTTGCTTTTTTATTGTCACTTGATTAATTTGTATTTTAGGTCTGAGGTTTGAAAAAACAGTGAATTAACTACTGCTTTCATAGACCTTCTACTCATACTTGCCTCTTTTTAAGAGAAGACTCAGTGATTTCTCAACTTAAAACTTCTTGGGTGTCCAAATTGCTTAGAAATACATTGGATTAAAACCAGCTTGTGGTGTTGATACAGAACATCTTAATACATGAGGAGGACTTGAGTGTATCAGCCTTTCAGTAAAGCCTGAAAGAAATCTGGTGGATGTTTTATCCAAAGCATCAGAAGTATGCAGCATCAGGACAACTGGATTTTGAGATGTGCTGTAGCTTGGAGTGGGACCAAATACAGAGTAGTGGGATGAGTCTGGGTTATTCTGAATGAACAGTCTCATGGATATTGGTGAACTATGTTCACTGTAGGAGTTCCTTTGCAGTCAGGGCAGGTTGAGAATATAAACTGCAGAACACCAAGGGGAAAAAAAATATCTTGCGTTTCTCCGGCCTTCTGTTTGCTTTTCATTTCTTTCCTCTCTGTACTGGTGAAATGCTTTTTGTATTCTTATGCACTTTGTGTGTATCTCTTGCAGCAAAATACATGTGATTTTCCTTGCATGCCACTTCTTATGGATCTTAAAATACATTTTTTCTGTAAAAACCATGTTACACTCTGTGTGTGTATACGTACGCATTTTAGTAGTGCTTGCTCATTTTTAGAGGCTCATAGTCAGTATCATAGATGCATATTTAAATATTATCATTAATGATTATAAGAATAATATGTATGCAGTTTTCTGGCCAACAACACAGCCTCTGGTCTGTCTTATGTACTAAAAACTTACCCAAATTTGACAATCAAATGTATGAGTAGAGATAGGATGCATTAACTAAGTGGATTGTAATCCAGAAAAAATGACTTTACTAAGGCATTGGTTGCTTCTCCAGAAATAGGGGAAGAAAACTTCATCAACAAATTTTATCATTGATACCCCTCTGTCCTTCCATTTTCCTTTAAAGATGAATAGATACAGTGCTGAGTAGACACAGATGAACAGTGAACTCTTTGAAATTAAAGAAAAGTAAGGTCTTGGTGGTTGGGGAAATGTAAAAGTCCTTATCTAGGGAAGAAAGCCCACAGGATTTTCAGCTGAATTGCTAAGAGTCATTCTGACTAGCTGCAATGAATACACCTATTGTTTTTGCATGTTTCCAACTCTAACAGTAAAATTACTAAGGCCTAATCAACCTCCCAAATTTTTAGTTCATTTTGAAAAAAAAAAAAATCATCATCATTGTGGTCAGGTGTGTTTGAACTAAGATTGTCTCAAGTAGTTATAACTATGTCAGGTCCTAGAAATTACCTAGATCAATCATTCAGCATTGTCAGGTCAAGTTATGGACATGTAAAGGAAATGTCTAGATAACCAGATACTGTTTTTCATGTCTGTGCAAAGCCAAACATTAGTTGAAAAATTTCTTCTCTTACAGAGGTGCTAGAATTTGCAGTGCTTATAAGTGGTGATAATCGTAGTAATCACTGACAGTTAAACAGCTGTGTCACAGAGATAGGACCTATTGCAGAAGTTGCAGTGCAGCCTATCCAGGAACCAGTAACTCTTTCTCCTTAACGTTTAGGTATGTCCTATTTTTATGTCACAAACAAACAGACAAAGTATGGGGAGGATGAGCAGACAGTGAGGTGGGCTGAAAACTGGCTGAATTGCTGGGTCCAGAGGGTGGTGATCAGTGGCATGAAATCTAGTTGGAGGCCAGTAACTAGCGGTGTACCCCAGGGGCCAATACTGGGTCCAGTCCTGGTCAACATCTTCATTAATGATCTACATGATGCAGTAGAGCATACCCTTGGCAAGTTTGCTGATGATACAAAACCAGGAGGAGTGGTTGATGCACCAGAGAGTCATGCTGCTGTCCAGACGGACCTGGACAGGCTGGAGAAATGGGCTGACAGGAACCTCATGAAATTCAGCAAGGAGAAGTGCAGAGTCCTGCACCTGGGGAGGAACAGCCCCATGCACCAGTACATGCTGGGAGTAATCCAGCTGGAAAGCAGCTTGGCAGGAAAGAACCTGGGGGTCCTGGTGGGCACCGAGTTGAACATGAGCCAGCAACGTGCCCTTGCCACAAAGAAGGCTGACACGTATCGTGAGCTGCATTAGGAGTAGTGTTGCCAGCAGGTCAAGGGAGGTGATCCTTCCCCTCTACTCAGCACTGGTGAGGTCACACCTGGAGTGCTGGGTCAGGTTCTGGGCTCCTCAGTACAAGAGATGCGGACATACTGGAGAGAGTCCAGCAAAGGGCCACAAAGATGAGTAAGGGACTGGAACATCTCTCCTGTGAGGAAAGGCTGAGAGAGCTGGGACTCTTTGGCCTGGAGAAGAGAAAGCTCCGGAGGCATCTCATTAACATACATTTTTGCATACCTGAAGGGAGGGTGCAAAGAAGAAGGAGCCGGGCTCTTTTCAGTGGTGCCCAGTGACAGGACCAGAGGCAATGGGCACAAACTGGAACACAGGAGGTTCCCTCTGAACATCAGGAAACACTTTTTCAGTGTGAGGGTGACCGAGCACACTGGCACAGGTTGCCCGGGGAGGCGGTGGGGTCTTTATCCTTGCAGATACTTGAAAGCCATCTGGACATGGTCCTGGGCAGCTGGCTTCAGGTGGCCCTGCTTGAGCAGGGGAGTTGGACCAGATGATGTCCAGAGGTCCCTTCCAAACCTCAACCATCATGTGATTCTGAAATAGTTCTGGTTTCCTAATAGTCTGAGATTTTAAGTGCTTTCATCTTCCTGGAGAGGATCAGGATATGTAATAGGAGTCTGTGATACCCATATCTAGGGATGGATATTAGATGGTACTGAAAAATACTGTAGTGCTGTAATTTGAAATTTGGTTGTTCTTCTGTATATGTCGCATATATACAAGATACACTGTGGACCTCTGCAGATGTTTCACTGAACACATTAATATTTTATAAACATTAATGTTATGGTCTGATCTGCACAGCGATGCCAGCTGAAATATGTTCTTACAGTGGCTTCTATAATGTGCTTACTCAACAGGTAAAACGTTCTAGAAGCAAAGGAGGACTGGCTGGGCCTGATGGTACAAAGTCAGTGTTTGGGCAGATGTGTGCTAAAATGAGTTCCTTTAGCCCTGATAGCCTTCTGCTTCCTCATCGTGTTTGGAAAGTCAAGTTTGTTGGTAAGAGGATTCTCCATCCCCAACCCCCCCCCCCATATTTTGCACTTAACTTTACAGTTTTCTTCAGATCTACTTTTTTGGAGGACCTGAAGGAAGGGAGGCATATAGGAAAACAATGTATGTGTGTAGGTAGAGGAAGGTGCTTAAAATGTTAGGAAGCAAGAAACTTTTTTAAATGATTTTGTAAAAAAAATCTCAGGATTAATGGGAATGTGTCTGTAATTGTCCTCAAATTCTGGGAGCAACTCTTCTGCTTACAACAAATGTTCTGCGAAACGTAAACCTGTTTTTCAGCTTTCCGAACTGGTAAATAATCCTGGCTAGCTGGTTTTACTGGTAGGGTTGTTTTTATAGTTCACATATCACTTTGAGCTTTTTGATGAAAAATACTTGAGATTGAAGGGTCATTCTATCTAAGATACGTAAAATATATCTACTTTAAAATTTTACTTAGAAATTGCGTTGCTTTGACTTTCTTTTTCTGCCTCTGCTATTTTATTTTGATTAGCGTATAACACAAAAATGTTAGTTACACTCTGGCAAAATAGTATTTTCAACACTGTGATATATTGTATAATCTTCTAAATAATATGATTTACAATGAACTGGAAATATCCAAATACAAAGCAAAACATAAAGGGTTTTCATATGAACAGATATGACAGTGTAGCTTCTGGTGAACTTTTGTTTACTGAGTCATCCCTGTGGAAGGAAGTACAGTTTATTTCAATACTTCATTTATTTTTAAAAGAACATTTAATTTTGAGCCTTTTTTCTTCTCCAAGGTGAATCTGTGGATGATTGCGGTGGAGGTTATAGTGAATCAATAGCAGAAATGTGCGAGGAGCTTCAGAATGGGCTGACCCCTCTGTTAATTGTGACACCAAATGGAAGAGATGAATCTGGAGCAAACAGAGATTGTTTCCTATTAAATCCTGCTGCCAAGTCCCTCTTGCATATGAACATGTTTCGTTTTCTTGGTAATTTTGTAGCAATGTTGTGACATTCTACTTGCATTACATGATCAGAATATTGGGAATCTAACAAAAAAAAATTTAAAATATTATGTTTAAACTTACAGGTGTACTTCTGGGCATTGCTATCCGGACTGGCAGCCCTCTGAGCCTCAACCTAGCTGAGCCAGTGTGGAAACAGCTTGCAGGAATGAATCTAACAATTGCTGATCTCAGTGAGGTAAGTATGAAGTTTCTGAGTAGGATATAACTTACAGAAGACAAGCAGACTCTAGCATAAATTTTTCTCCAGTGATTGGTTTCCCTGGTTTCTATATATTTGTATTTTGATTGGTATTTGACATTTTGAGCCACTATATAAGGATGACTTGTACTCATTGTTAAAACTGTAAATTTACAAGTCATTCAAAAATAGTTAAATAAGCTATTTGAATTCTAGAGCATTCTCAAATGTTCTCATGGGTTTGACTAGACAAATGTTTGTGGTTGAACTCCTGCTTTCCAGTAGACCTTTCTGTAGCTGTTACTGTCTGTTTTGACAAGATGCAGTAACTGATTTGGTGCACAAGCCTAAACTGTTTTGAAGTAAAAGAAAATCAGTTCAAACTACTACTGAAAACAGTTTGTGCCCGCATACTGAACATCACAAACTTTCAACTTCTGTTTACTGAGTTCAGTAAATGTGGGGTAAGAGTTAGGTCTTCGTTACAAAGAAGAGTTCCTTCTCAAATACTGTCATGTAGAAACGTACTTAGTGTAAAAGCATTGAGTCATTGCTTGTCAGTAAGGTGATTCCTTTTGTACCAAAACCAGCATTGGACTTTGTAGACATGATTATGTTTTTAAGCTTTAAATCCATTTTTTTAATATAATACAGTTTCTTGGCAAATGCTCCCCAAAAGGACTAAAATCTAGAACACATGCACACACACACACACACACACACACCCCCATCCCAGCATAATGAGATTTTGTGAGAAACACTAAGGCATTTTATGGCTTTGAAATTCAGTTAGATGGTCAGACGTTTGACAATGCTTTTGGTAGATGACACACGATGTGCTGCTTTTGGTATGCAAGAGATGCTGTTGTATAGTTCTAGTAAACTGACTTTAACTCGGGATTGTTATTTTCAAAAGGTTGATAAAGATTTTATTCCTGGGCTTATGTACATTCGAGACAACGAAGCTACTTCAGAAGAGTTTGAAGCTATGAGCTTGCCATTCACTGTGCCTAATGCAAGTGGTCAAGATATTCAGCTGAGTTCCAAGTACACCCATATTACATTGGATAATAGAGCTGAATATGTGAGGCTGGCAATAAACTACAGGTTTGTTGAATAAGTCATTCAAACTATTGACATGTATAAGGATTTTGTTTTAAAAGATATGTAAAAGCTTTTAAACAATATACTACTTCAGCCTCTTATGTACAAGTATTTTAATATTTTCATGTGATCACAGTGTTGATTTTCTGATTTCTTTTAATCTCTCCAAGGAGAGAAGACGAAACTTAATTTTTAGGAAACAAAATAAACTAGCAGGTATGGCTCTAGATTTTAATAGCTGTCCTGACAGAGCAGTTTTGGCAGCCAGTTTTACAGGTGAAGAGATGCCCCATCCATCTAGTTCTTCCTGTGGGATAAAGTAGTAGGCTTGATCATTAAGTTCTTTGTGAAGAGAGCTTAGATGTAGTACTACTGCTCCCACAGTCTTTAGTATCATCAGTTGTAGTCAAGAGCAGTCCCAGATGAATTCTTATTATATTCTTATCTTAGCTGGAATACACAAATCAAAATGTTCATTCCATGGACATCATAAAGTAAGTCTGACACCTATGTGCAGACAAGTAAATTCACCCACAGGTGCCAAAAGCTGGACATTGCACTGAAATCAGTGGGAAATAATTGTTCGTTTTTTGAGAAGACAGACCTTTAGTTACTTAAATACCTAGATAGCTGATCTACACAAGTACATCTATCTAAGAAGCAACTGTAGTCATCTTGTTATGTGAAGCAGTGGGCCTAGTGCCTATTGAACTATGGAAATTTAGGTAATTTGGATGAGGAACTGACTATAATTGTTTTATTCTCTCCACCATAGTTAACTGTTTTAGAGAGTGCTTGAGCAAGACTGTGTCATCACTATATACTTGCTTATTAGTTTGTAGTTACAGTGTCTGCCAACAACTACTTGAATTACAGTCTTTGTGTGGTGGTGGGTTTTTTTTTCCTATAAATGGTTATGAACCAATATTTAGACCTATTTTTGGCAGCAGAGGGAAATTTCATTTGGAATGGATAAATGATATGTCTATATAAAATGTTACATTCCTTTGAAGAAAAGGGTTTGTTCTCTTGCCAATTCTGGCTATCCTCAAAGGACATGAGCAATTCTAAAGCATTTTGCAGTTACAAGGCCTTTGGGAGAAACATTTATATGTTTAGATTAAGTACCAAATTTTTTAATTATGTGAAGCCCTTGAGAGAAAAGCTAGCACCTGAATAGAATCCATGTGAAAAAGTGGATGCATAAGACCATATTTGTCCTGACGTCTTTGTTTATTTCAGTGATAACAAGCCTGAGGACAGGACTTGTCAATGATGCAAATCTCTGCTCTGGAGAGCTCTGTAAAACATCTCAGAAATTATTTGACAGGAAAAATAATGTAAAACACAAATCATGGGTGGCAGCAGAAGCAGCAGAGTGTTAGACTTATCTGTGTCTGTCTTGAAATACAGCAACTCCTGTCCTCAGACATCATGATTTAGTTCAGACCCATTTTTCTTTTACCGTAATGTCTCTCTAGTGTTGGGAATGTTTGAGGGCAGAGTTTCAAAGCACAGCTGTTCTTTTCCCAAGAGCATGTTTTTTCCAAATGGGGTATTGGTCTGTTCTTGCCAGGCACAGAACATGAATAATACTGGAAATAAAATTTCCTAAACATTGGGAGGAATCTCTCCATACTGAGCTTGCTGTGCAGTACGAATTGGTGTAGAAACTGGTATAAGTCAAGTATCTTGTGTGATAAATGTTTATTAGTGTTCCTTGGCATATAGCTGGAGACTTGAGGAGAATGGTTAAAGTTTCCTTGATATTACAATAATTGCTAGAAATAATTGCTAGAAATGGCATTCATAGAAACTCTGAAAATGTGTCTCTGCAGACTTCATGAATTTGACGAACAAGTTGCAGCAGTTCGTGAGGGGATGGCCCGTGTTGTTCCAGTTCCTCTACTTTCACTATTTACAGGATACGAACTGGAAACTATGGTATCAATTTCTGTTTTGCTATGTCTGTCAGACTAACTTGGAGTGAGATTCTTCACTTACAGTGAGATTCTTCACTTACATCTTTGTAACCCAAAACCCATATTTAATATATTATTTACAATGCTTGCTCTGTGATTGCAAACATTTTGTCCATAGAAAATGTTTAATTGCCCTCTTGGTGTTAATAAGGTTATTTTGATGTAGCTGAGCAGTGATGTAATGAATTATTTCTGGAAGAAACAAACAAAGCCAAAAATCCCACAAAACAGGGATCTGGGAGGTGAGTTGGAGATATTAATCCCAAGTAAAGTGTTTAATTCTTCATGTGATTCAGGAATATGAAAGAAGGTTCATTATTGTCCCCTGATGGGAAAATGTGTATTTAGTATTATTGTAATAAGAGACTATGCACAGCACTTCACATATTTGAATGTTCATTTTGTCAGTATAAAAGCTGATTAAATATTTTAAAAGAATGGAGGGAACAAATGGCCTGTAATTGATTTGATCAGACTTTCGTAGCCTATCACTGTATTTTATTTTTCAGGTATGTGGAAGCCCAGATATTCCACTTCATCTTCTGAAATCTGTAGCAACATATAAAGGCATTGAACCAACTGCTTCCTTGATACAGTGGTTCTGGGAAGTGATGGAATCCTTCTCCAATACAGAGCGATCTCTCTTCCTGCGTTTTGTGTGGGGCAGAACAAGGCTGCCCAGGACTATTGCAGACTTCAGAGGGAGGGACTTTGTTATTCAGGTAAGGTGTGTGGGATGGGGTGTGAGATTTTTACAAAGCTGGTAGTGGAGTAGTAGTAGCATGACATAACAAGAGAACAGGCTGATTTCATTAAACTGTTTATGCAACATTACATTGTAGATTTGACAGTGCAGCAGAGACCTATAATGTGTATAAATATTTTTCTCTCTTGACTTGGGCAAGTGGGTATTTGCTTCATTTCCCAGCCATGTGCTTCTCTGGATTTTGATAGTTTTCCACTATCAGTCATCAGCTGGTTTTGCTGGCATTTATTTAGCATTTCATTCAGCTCAGTAATCATTTCAACTAAATTAAAACTCCACAATCTTCAAATCATATTTTGGTATTTGCTGAAGTAATATAATCTTTTTTTAGATTGTTCCCAACCACATATTCGTAATCAAAGAAGCTCACATATGTCTGGCTTTATTTACTTAGTGTAGGAAAATGGATTTGGTCTTTTAATTGTTCTTTTAAGAAACTACAGCATCAGAATCAGAAATCTAACCACGCTCTAACCAACTGAACTAACATACTGTTAAAAAAAATTCTCAAGTATTACGCTGATATTTATTTGTGTTTTGGACAGTGAATCAAAAATACTATGCTTTTTGTTTTCAACAGGTTTTGGATAAGTACAATCCTCCAGACCACTTCCTTCCTGAGTCATACACTTGCTTCTTTCTCCTGAAGCTGCCCAGGTATTCCTGTAAGCAAGTACTAGAGGAAAAACTGAAGTATGCCATTCACTTCTGCAAGTCTATAGACACTGACGATTATGCCCGGATAGCGCTGACAGGAGAGCCAGCAGCTGATGACAGTAGTGATGATTCTGATAATGAAGATGCAGATTCTTTTGCTTCAGATTCTACGCAGGACTACTTAACAGGACATTGAAAAAACAATATAAGGGATAGTTGTTACAAGCACTGAGGCAAAATGCCAAAATGACAATGAAGCCAAGGACAGTTTAGGTCTCAGAATATAGAGTAATTAGAGGGATGGTAATCTTCTGAACATGGGGAAAGTGTGTTTGCTACTCACAGTAGGAATTAAGGGTTACAGCTTAAACCATCAGCTTAGAATAAATGGCACAGTATATGGGCATTTAACATTTATTTTGAGAGCTGAAAGTGGTCCCCCATAATGCTGCACTACATTTAGAACCTTTGTGTTTACTGAAGTGTTGTAAATGTTTCTATAAATATGGTAGTGCAGCATCCAAAAGGCAGTGAAACCTTTAAATTGTGGGTGCAATAGGTTTTTTTCATATTAAGTGTTGTGTTCTGTGCATCTTCTTGATTGTATATTGGAAATACTGTGCAACAACTGAATAGTATTATAAATATTTCAACTAACTTTAGTAGAAGTTTGTTAAAAATTTTTGAACATTGAATTAACATTATTCCTTGAAATTCTTCTATAGATAATAAAAATGGCCAATAGTTTCACCTCCACCCCTGGTTTGTATATTTTAGCTTATGCATTATTTATCTCAAATTTGATACCTTTCTGTGAACAGCATCATAATTCTTATCATGGAAAGTGTACTGTATATAATTTGTGCCATGTAAATGCAAAAGTTATAATTTCCCTCCAAATAAAAGTTCTGCCACAGAAAAAAATAATATGTATTTTTTAATGGTAATGCAGCTATTACATGGGATGAACTTTGCAACGGCTCTGCTAAGAAATGTTTCTGCAATTTATAGCTGTTGACCAAACACTCCTGGTGCAGCTCCACCAATATGTGGCTATAGTAGGTGCATTGCCATAGGTAGAACGTGATCTGTAGTAAACTCAGAGCAAGTCTACACAACATGTTAATGGTGGCGGTTAAGCACACTTTGTTTATGTAGTTGTTCCTAATGCTACTGTTGTCAGTAATGGTAAATTTGTTCTTGGACACCTGGGGAAAAAAATTGCTTTTGAGGAAGTGGAAGGGACAGATGTCTTCAAGTACCTGAATGTGAGTAGAAGAGAATGATGAGACTCATGTAATATATTGTCTCTGAGAAAATTAGGTCATTTTACAAGGCTTGATCACGAAACACTGTGCCTCCAGAGTAGCCTGTTTGAATAACTTGTTGAAGTCAAGTGGCGTTCAGGCAGGTATTATGTGTTTTCTACACAGTGTATGCACTAGTTTTTCAAAGTAAGAAAATAAGATTTAGTTGTGCCAAAGCACTAATATTTTTACTTTAAAATCCAGTGGAAGGTGATGTCACACCATCTCTTCACTAATTTTTAGGATAGGTATATGTGAATATTTAACATTTTACAATTCAGAGTTGATTCATTTTTGGTTTTAGTGTGTACATTTGACTTCTATTCCCACTTCTGTAAATTTAACTGGGGTCATGAAATCAGTTTTCATACTTGAAACATACTTAATATTTCAAAGTAGTGGTGAAACTACCTCTTTGTTGTTACAATGTTGGAGTTTTGAAATCCATGAGCTTTAAAGGCCTCTATTTTGTGCTGAAGATCTCGTGTGATAAATGCTCCTGTCCTGATCCTGTGTCTCACTGGAGATTCCAGAAGTCAGGCCTGTGCCCTGTCCTCCAGATTTTCTCTGTCTGCTTATGAAAAAAGCCAAGTCTTTTTTGAGTCTTAAAAAAGATGCAAAACCCAAAACCCTTAAGCAACCTCTTTTATCTTTGCTGCTGAATTGAATTCTTCTGAGGTAGAGAGTGGAGAATCTGGTACAGAAGTGCTCATGTGGTCGTCTGCTGTCCTTCGCCATGGTAACACCGGAGCCCTGTAGGCATCCAGCTTGATCAAAGACGTTCTGTAGTCAGCTTTTCAGGAGATGTGATGGAGGAGTCATGCCCAAATGCCACAAGCCCAAGGACTGAGACAGAGTTCAGTTGCCGTTCTTGAATTTCAAACCCCATTTCAGGAGCATGTGAACTATTATAACATGGAGAAGTTTTATAACTGGCTTAGGAAATAAAAAGAATGTCAGAGTTTTTCTTACAAGAAAAGCAAAAAGGAAGTATCCTTTACGTAAGGAAGCAGTTTAAGTTGTTAATTAGTGAACCACATAAAAGAAGTTTTTTAAGCCTCCTTCTTTGCTTTCTCATCCTAACAGAAGAGTCTCGGACACCCTTTTACAGTGTGAAATGCTTGTCACCTATGGGCTGACTTACAGCATTTCCAAGTAGCCAGTTGTCATTCTTGGAAAAACATTGTTTCAAGTGGTCAAAAAATGGGTTTTGCTCTTAATTGGCTTTTAGATGCAAAGTCCTAGTCTGAGAAGGAAAAGGACTCAACCTTGCAAATGAGGAGTGGATTGCTAGTGCTCCTTTCCCTTCTTCATATATTACTTCTGTGTAAAACCAAAGATGATGGTTTGATTTATTATAAAGCTTTACCATTATGAAATTGCGGAAGACAGACAAAAATCCCTTCCATTGTTCAAAATTACTCTTTGTTGCCTGGGTAAATTCCTGATACCACCTAATAGCTGCTAAACAACCTGTGAATAAGGAGAGAGGGTTGTTGAGTCCCATCAGGGAGTTTAGGGGACATGTGCCATTTATCAAATCATAGAATCATTTAGGTTGGAAAAGACCTTTAAGATCATCCAGTCCAGCCATTAACCTAACATTACCAAGTCCACCACTAAACCAATTAAGGGTAGAGTAGCAATTTCATGTTTCCTGGCTTGGTGGCTGGATTATTTTTAATGAAAGTAAAAACTAGGAATCATTAAGATTGGAAAGGATCTCTAAGATCTTCAGTCCAATGATCAACCCAACACCACCATGCCCACTAAACCATGTCCCAGAGTGCCACGTCTGCCCGTTTTTTGAACAATTCCAGGGTAGTGACTCCACCATTATAATCATGGCATTTGTTCCTGAACATTATGTTAGTCAAAGAAGTCTTCAGGTCACCATATATAGGGTGCTTGCCTCCCCTGCAAGCATTTTTATCAGCAGACTATGTGCAAAACTAAACTATGCAGCACTCTTCTAGAAAAAAGGGAAGCAGTGGCTTCCAAAGATCACCTTGATAAAATATTTTCACTTTTTAGTTTGAAGAAAATTTACAGATATGTAGTTTCCTGTAGATCTTGCCTTTCAAGGTTAATCTCCTGACGAATCTTATAGTTAAAAACGGTATTAACTAAAACATGCCGACATGGTCTTTTATTCAACTGGGGTTCAAGGATGTGAGATTGGTGGAAAAGTTAGTCTATCGTGGAGTCATGTCCTTACCTTAAGTGAAAACTGCGGCAAAGCAACACAGCTGTGAATGTGACACGCTATTTGTGAATTGATGCTCCTTGAACTTGGAAAAGATTCTGCTGTTTCACGTGTTTGTCTCAAATGTGAATGTGGATGGTATATCTGCAAGGCACTGTTCTTCAGCTTTGCATTTAGTCATCTGATGGCTGGCGAGTGAGATTGTGCAAAGATCTCACAGAAACACAGAGCAGAATTGTCTTGGTTGGTTCCTTACTGTGGTCATCCTTGATCAGCTCTCTCCAGTGAGTTTGGGTGTTGTGCACTGGCATCATGACCTGAAAAAGGTTTCAGAAGACGCATTTTGAAAAGTTTGTTGGAGGATGTAGAGTCAATCACATGATATAATACAAAATCCTCTAGGATTCTCTCCCTCTAGGGTCGGTGTTAAGTGAAGAGTAACTTAATCCTCATTGGGCACTTGCATATACTCACTACCAATGATAAGCCTTAGTAAGGACAGGGTACAGCACTTCTGAAAATAAAGTCCAAGATAGGAGTACACCTTCTTGCTTCATTGTGACAATTTTATCAGTGTGCGGAGGCAAAATGTGCCAATGTAGTTCAGTCTCAGCGGTCAACTGAGCTTTGTTACCCTGTTCAGCAGCAACTTGTAGGAAAAGAAAATGCAAGAAAGCACAAAATCAAAATGCATGAAAATAGGACACTTGCAGCCGTAGGAGGCTGCTCTTCCTTCTCGCTCTTTATGAAAAGTTTGACCTGTGGCCAAGACACAATTAATGTTTCTTCCCAAACCAGCGTGCTGTTTCAAAGGTCCAAAAAAAAGAGAAATCAAAGGATGACCAAGTAGATGAAGCTGTGTTTTCTTTTCCTAGAAGACAGACTTAATTCTTCTGTGTGAAGTTTTTCACCACTATATTGAAGAAAAGATGCCCTTTAGCTTCATGAACTGCTAAGTTTTGAACAAGTTCTTTCTATAATTTCCAAGTAGTAATTTTCCTGATTTTTTTTTCTGATATGTTTGACATTTGTGGGACAAATGTGATTTGCCAACCACAAATGATGAAACCATTCTAATGCTTTGACCTAGTAATTAACGGATGAGGCAGGTTTGCTTTAGTACAGCTTTTGATGCTGTCCCTTCCTTTGTAATGTTCTTTTATAAGTAAACTAAGATGACCTCTTAAAGGAGGTGAAGGTAAAGCTGTGTGCAAAGTGTGAAGGTCCCTCCTAAACTGGAGAAACTTTTTGAGTAAGACTCTTGCACGTGTCCTTCCTGGTTCTGCTGCTTCTCAAGTTTTTCATCAGTTTCATCACATTGACTTAGAAGCACCCGTAAAAGTAAACTAGAGAAGAGGGTCCATGTCCAAAGTGAAGCTGATAGGAGAAGGGCTGACTGACCTGAGCAATGCAAGAGTCAATGGATTATGAAGTGCTGTGCATAGAAGGAAGAAATCAAATGCATGAAATACTTGTGTATGGGGGCCAGGTGGGATTTGGGTTGGCCTGAATGAGTTGCTCTTCCTCTATGCTCCTGCAGAGGACAGGGGATTCCTGGGGGAGAACTGGCTGGACAAAAACTGGAAGGAAACGGAGTTTTTGTAGTGCAAATCAGGCACCTTCCTTCCTGTGATACTGGGGGCTGCTGCTTCCTTGCAGAGTCACTGACCAGGCTCCAGTCTGTGGCACTCAGGTGACTGGAGTTACCCAAGTGGTGAAGCACTGGAACAGGTTGCCCAGAGAGGTGGTAGAGGCCCCATCCCTGGAAACATTCAAGGTCAGGTTGGACGGGGCTCTGAGCAACCTGATCTGGTTAAAGCTGTCCCTGCTCACTGCAGGGGGGTTGGGCTGGATGACCTCTAAAGGTCCCTTCCAGCCCAAAGCATTCTATGATTCTAAGTGGGGTAGAGCCTATCTGCCTTTGGAATGTTTTGTTTTGGAACAAAGGAGGCCATTTCAGTTGCAGATGTGGATCTACAGTACAATGAGTCACCAACACCAATAGGAGAGATTAGGGATTTAGGCTGATGGTACCCAGGGAACAGTCATGTTGCCTCTGTCACTGCAATAAAGTGACTTAATTTAATAGCACAGACCTGCTGTATGATGGACCATATTACAGGTGCTAATAACGCCAAGTTCACAGGTTCAATCCCTGCTTACTGCAGGGGGGTTGGGCTCGATGATCTCTCAAGGTCCCTTCCAACCCAAAGCATTCTATGATTCTGTGATTCTACTAGAGGATGAAAATACACTGCAAAATGGCTGATACGGGAGCATGGCCAGCTACCTGGGAGCCTGTTGGTCCCCTTGCTTGCATATGACCTTAGCAGAGTGAAAGGAAAGTGGTGGGATATTTTATGGCTGTTAACGGTATCATTAAAGGATGTTAAGAGTATGGCCAACTCCTG